AGAGGAGGATAAATATCTCACAAAGCTACAAATCCCAGAATTCCATAGCAATAAGCCATGACAGTTAAAGTGGTGTCTAACTTCATTATTTCTGCAGCGCAGATGCAGCCTTAAACACTTTAGCCAAAGCATACTGGAAAGAAGCTAGTTTGCCACATTGGTTAACAGTCCAGCTCCACATAACTTTATTGTGCCAATAAAACCATGATTTATTTCCTAAAATACTATGAACATACAGGGCAGTGTCCAACACTGGACACTCCTAATCTCTCTCCTCCCATCTACCTCAAAAACTCACTTCAGAAGGCTAGGGAAAGCCCATTTTTCAGGAGGTCTAGAAGTCTGCAGGGGGAGAGGGAAGAAAGTCCATGGCAAAAATGCTAAACTTATAAGAACACAAATTCAAGACAAAACATCAATGAGTTACAACAAACTACAATATCTAAGCCTCCTTTAAACATCATAATGATACTCCCTTGCCATATTCCATTACAAAATTGATCCAACCATTGAGTTTTGCTTCACTGGTTCTTAAAATTGCATCAGTTAACAGCCATATTTCTCAAAAAAGAGACACACAACTCTTTCGACATTCAGGATAAATTATGTAAGCTTTAAACCTTTGAGGGCTCCCATTCAGTTCCTATTATTGAAATAACAGAGCATCAGCATTCTTCCACCACTGAGCAATTAGCCTTCATGTTGCTATTAGCATATTGTTACCAGTTTGCAAAATTAGTTCACTTTACTAGTGTTATGGTGACTGTAAGAAGCAAGGGACTATGCAGAGGACTGATTTCTAGTTCCATGTTATGGACATCTTTGAAATGAGAAGCTAGGCACATCTGATTAGGGCCAGATCTACAAATATGGTAAAATCCGAGATTTCCCAGATTTGAAGTGACCCTGGAGCTAGTTTATTCTATTAAAAATGACAGGGAAACTACTCACAGAAAATTTGGATTATGCACATTCCCCGTCACCCAATCCAGAGGTCATACTGGTGTTAAAACTGCAAGCTTCCCTAATTTTTTTTCCACTGACATGACACCTGATTTTTTTAACCTGTCCATCAAGGATGCCCACCTGTGGAGGAGTACAGGTAAAGGCAAACAGATATACTAATATGCAGTTCTGCACACAGCTGTTTTTCTAAATGATAATTGTGCCATTCAAACCTCTTGCTTTTGGGAACTCATCAATTCCTTTTCCTCTACTGTCGCCAGTACAACACTTTTTTCCATTGCACTATCTGAGGAGGAATAAGCCCTCAGATGCCAAAAAAACACAGCTAATTCCCCAAATTTACAAGAACGTCCTATCCAAATTGCCAATAATTTGGGATGAATGAGATCAACCAATTACAGCCTTCAGAATGCTGTAAAAAGGGTCCTATGGTGGAAAGGGTATAACCTATAGGTTTATCCATTAAAGTAGTAGATAGGGACAGAATGGAATACAGTTAGGGAGTCAGAAATAGAGTGAGGATTACTTAGGATAAGGGAAATGGAGAAAATCTGTATTGTGTTTTGGGAAGCTGAGAATGCAGAGAAGGTTTCAAGGAGAATTATTACTTTGGAGATTATCAGATGGGGGGGAAAGCTGTGAGTAAAAGGCATACTCCCACCATAATTGCGTGATTGCACTGAAGATTTTCAGATGATGTCATGCTCATCTAGAACTTATCCTGTAAAGATCCAGGAATGCTCCAGCAACAAACCATTCCTGGGATTTTCCTAGGATTATGCCAGGAGTATGCCTTTTACTCCTAGCTTTTCCCCCTGTCTGATAATCTCCTTTGTTTAAAACAGAAGGGTTACTGTGTATTCTATTTGTGGAACTAGAATAAGGCTAGATGTTTATTTTGGTTGTTATATAACAAATCTTTATTGTTTTTATTTCTTGCACCTCTTGTTGGATATTTCATTTTAATAGTTAACAAGAAGATCAGTCATGCTGAACTCACTGGTTAACACAGCCACCTATCCTGGTCACCTTGAGATTCAACTATCAAATCCAGAGAGGGATTTTGAGGGTAAACGCCCAAAGTGAATTATAGGCACCAAACCAAAATGTTGCATGAGAATACAGGTATTAATGAAGTAGATATGTTCCCAGACATTACTTCTCTAACAGAAAATTTGGTATCAGAGACATAAATAGCATGGAAACATATCCACCACAGAAAAGGAGATGTTTCACCAACATTTTTGTTCAAAACCAACAGTTAGCCACATGTGAAATGAAACAACCAGGACATGTAAGCCTTGCATAAGTAAACTAAAACATTTTGAACCTTCTAGAGATCACTTGAAAACTGCCTCCAAAATGCATTCAGGGACAATGTTTTTCCTTCATAAGCTTCCACTTTTCTTATGATTTCCATTTTGGTGGCCATACCTACAGATTATGCTTTTAAACATGCTGGTGGAAGCTGGTGAGGCAAGCTATTTTTTAGTTTATTGCATTGCCCTTTCCCATCCTTCCCTCTCAAGCTAGGCATGGGATGAAAACTTTTAAACACAGATTTTATTGCACACCTCCGTGCCCAGGTAGGAAGCATCCTGTACCAATTATGGCATCCCATGCTCGATCCAGACTTTCCCTGCACTTTTTGAAAGAACATGATTTTCCCATTCTTTGCAATGTACAGTAGATGTCTGGCTTGGGTACAGGATGTCATGATCAGGTATGGAATGCCTCCTGCCTGGGCATGGAGGCGTGCAATAAAATCTGTGTTTAAAAGTTTTCATCCCATGCCTAGCTTGGGAGGGAAGGACAGAAAAGGGCAGTGCAATAAACTGCCTTCTCTTCCCCTTTTCTTTCTGTTTTACTTTCAATACATACTCAGTAAGGCAGGGGTAGGCAACCTTTTTGAGCCGGGGGCTGGGTTGCTGTCCCTCAGACAATTGGGGGGCCGAAGCACCAAAAATAAATAAATAAATAAATAAATAAAATTTAAAAAAATTAAAAAAATATACATGCACACTCTCTCAGCCCTAGAAAAGCCATGGCAAAACTCCTATGGAGATGCTGCCAAGAAAACCCCAAGAACAAGTAATAACAACAATAATCAATATCATCATGGCGGGCGGCAGTGGCGGCGGCAGGACCAGCCTGGGGCAGACATGGTATAGCAAGCAAGCAAGCAACTGAAAGTATCTCAAGTAGTTCTTCATCACCCTCCAAATGCTGTTTAAAAAGAACTTCTAGCTAGACTGAGGACAAGGAGGAAAGGTGAAAAGGGTGGATGGGGTGAAAAAGATGTTGGGGAAAGGGGTTTGTTTTCAAGAGGCTTTGTTAACTGAGGTATGCCTGCACCTTATTTAGCCACCTGTGGCTTCTGAAATGTCAGGCATATCTTACTAGCCATGTGGGCTAGAAATATGCTGTACTAAAAATAAATCCTGATCTAGGAAGTGGGTTTCTGTGTGCAGTGCCAGATTTCAAGCTTACTTTGTAGAACTGTGCAACACTGGCCATCATATCTTAGTACTGTTAACACATCCTGGGGCAGCCAGATGAAGCATGTCCAAGCAGCATAAAGATTTATAAACCCATCAAATAAAAAACTGTTGCTAGCTGCTGCCTGCTAGGAATACAATTCTTTCAGTCCTAACATCACGACCATAAACACCCACACTTTGTTCCCTTGCTCAGAATGCCAGTCCCTTTCAGAAGAAACAAACATCCTGCTGCTTACCTTTTCTTAATTATGCTAGGATTTGCAGTTACCAGCTGAGTTTTGGACCCAACATCCTTGCTGTACTCACTGGTGAGAGGGGGGAGGTTGCATCTGAAGGAAACAAAAGAAAATGTCATATTTTAATTTCTCTTCTTATTATTATCTCTCTTCCCTACCCCCACCCCCACCCCCCACTTAACACCACTTGAAAAGATAAGGAAATTTCCTACACTCATTGACTCAGCCAGAACAAAAGACTGTCATGGTCAAGTAATTGCCCATCATTAATTCAATGGCAGGGTACATTATTTGCATGTAGAAGGTCCCAAGTTCAATCTTTGTACCTCCAGGCTAAGAAAAACATTCCTGCCTGAAACCAGAAGTCTGACTTGTGCATGGAAGACAATGACTGAACACAATTAAAGGAGCTGGCACACATTGGCATCATATGGAAAAGTCCACACTGAAGTAGAGCACATGATGTGTGTGTGCGCATATGTGTGCACAGAAGACTGCAATTTCATTTCCTAGCATCTTTCATTAAAAGGAATGCCAGGCAGCAGGTGCTGGAAAAGACCTAGTGTTGCCAGATCTCAAAGTCTGGTCCTAAGTCTCCATTTTTTTGTGATTAATCTCCAGGTAGAGGACAAAGGTGCAAATTCTCCAATTTTGGAGGCCTGTGTACATATTACTAGATCACCTAACAGAACAGCAGCATGCTATAATTTCCAAGGCTTAACTTATTCATTGCTGCAACTTGGAAAGACCTGGAAAGAGAGCCTGTGTATTTACTTAGCTTCCTCCTGCCCTACCAAGTTTTGGACTGAAAACCAAAAATGATCATGAACTGGCAGTCGGAGCAGATAGTACTGAACTAGGTGGACAAAAAGTCACACTCAGTATACTGAAGGCAGTACAATTTGTTAATAAAACTTATAAACATCAAAGAATAGGAGCAAAGGGCCCATTCGGAAGATGAAACTGCTTCCCACCATCGAACTAGAAGGAAGCAATCCCTTCCATCCCTATAGTCTCAAAACCTGTTTAGAAGGGTTGGAAAACCCTTCAGATGAGGTTTCTCGAGGTGTATGGAGAGCTGCATAGGGGAAAGGAAGAGAAAAAAATCCTGCCACACTCCTGTTGTTGTTGTTGTTGTTGTTGTTGTGTGCCTTCAAGTCATCTCTGACTTACTGAGATTCTGAGGTGAACCCATCATGAGATTTTCTTGGCAAGATATCTTCAGAGGGGTTTTAACTTTGCCTTCCTTTGGAGTTGAGAGAGTAAGACTTTCCCAAAGCTACCCAGTGGATTTCTATGGTTGAGCAGGGATTTGAACCCTGATCTCCAGAGTCATAGTCCAACACTCAAACCACTACATCACACTGGCTCTCCATCCTTGTATAAAAGATTAGATTTTAACCAATATGTACACTAATATGCCATGTAGAACAAAGATATTTTGTTCACTCATTTGAAACAAAATTCCTTTACAAAAGCTTTCTTTTAAAAAAACATAAAAAGCAAAGCAGGTGAGCAAAGATCTTTTTATTTTGGCAGGCCTTTGGTATTTAAATGATGGGGTAAAGGGGTGTTTTCAGCATGGTGTTCTGTGCAAATATCTTTTTAAATTAAGTTTTAAATGTCCTTTAAATTCTCTTCCCTTTGTGGTTTTAGGGCAGAATTGCTATTTAACTGTAGATTTTTTTTAACTTTTGTAAATTAAGATTTTAGAAATATTGTTTTTTCTGTTTAGCAGTAGTTATAGTTTTGTTGTTGTTTGTATATGTGCTCATATATATATATATAGAGAGAGAGAGATAAAATATGTGTGTGGTGGTTGTTTTTATGTTTAATAAAAATATTTTTAAAGGTTTTGACTGAATTTTGTTTTAAAATGTTGTAAGCTACTTTGTTTCCATGCTGGGCAAAAACAGGAAATTAATTAATTAATTAAAATAATATGAGTGGTGTTTAAACAAAACTGTGGGGAGAACTTGTCCAAATTAGAAACATGAGACTTTGCAAAAGTGTCCCAGCATTTCCTAGGGACCTGCAAAGCAGCCTGATTCACCTGGTTATTTATTTAAATAGCTATCTGGAGCTCTAGATGAACATCTACATTATATCATGAATCTAGTCTCTCCTTTTTACACACATATTCCAATGACCTCAGACATTGGGGTTATTTACACATTATTATTTTTTAGTGCAACTATGTGAATAATCTCATTCACACATTCCAGGTTTCTTGTTCACACTATGGAACTACATCTATATGCACCTCTCTGAGTTCGGTTGCTCACACATTTCAGCACTTGAATAAAGATGGAATAGACAATGTGGATGTATTCAAAATACGTTCAAGGCATGCAGAGTTTTATCCTCATTTATCCAGGTCTATTTGCATTGGTTATTCACACAGCCAAGAATGCAAATCTTTTAGAAGAAGTGTGGGGTGGGGGAACCCAATATCTATTATCCCAGTTTTTGGCAGGCCCCCCCAAAAAAAATTTAATTGGATGCATTCAAAATGCATGGGAGCAATCAAGATTTAACCCAGATTCTACCTGGATTATTTTCACCATCTGAATAATCCCATAAGTGGGGTCTATTGGATAATGTGAGTTCAGAGGATAAATGCTCTCCTGGCCACAAGGAACTTTTAGGATCAGTCGTTTACTCAGAAGGAGGGATCTCTTCTAGAAATATCAGCTGAACTATTTATAGGAGATTATAGCAGTGCTAATAAAACTGGCTTACCTGACCCGGCTTAAAATTTAAAATGGGTGGCATCCTGATGTTATCACAAGGATTTAGTTACTGAAATCGCTGCCCGGGTTCATCACCACTCCCAGGATTGCTCCGGCGGCCATTTCCTTAAACCTTAAACCAAAAAACTCCTGGCTTCAAAAAGAGGTGTGCTGAGCACCCCTGGGAGTGGCGATTAACCCAGGCGGCGATTTTGGCAGCTAAATCCTTGTGATAACATGAGGATGCCACTTGTTTTAAATTTTAAGCCAGCTCAAGTAAGCCAGATTTATTACTGCTGTGATAAATCTCCTTAATCAGGAAAAGGAAGGTTGGCCAGAACCAGCACTAAATCTGTCCATCTTTCTTTGCTGTTCCAACAAAACTCTTTTACTGATAAAATACTTCCAGTTTTTGTCTCTCATGTACAGGATTACTAGTCTTAAATTAAATTCTCATTCTAGCAGTTTATTATGCCAGGCCACCAGCTTAGCCTAGCAGTGAATCGTGCCTTTTATGACCATTCCCTGGGCCAAAGTGGAGAGTGTTTGCTCCTCTAGGAACAGTGTAACCACAACCACCATCATCCCACATTATTGGCTGTTAGCTATGACTGATGGGAGTTGCAGTCTAGAGGCACATAGTTCCTGACCCATTGTTCAAATTACTGTCTTCTCCCTTTCATAACATTGTTGCTCAACAAAAAAAAATTTAAAGACTGGTCCGTGTTGTACTCTTTGCTAAGGAACTCCTGCTGCCGTAAGGCAGCTGTGTTTTGTTTTTCTCCATGGGAAGTTTCTTCATGCAACACTGTAGAGAAGAAACAGGCTGAGCTTCCAGATGGTTGACTCAGTACGAAACCAGCTGCTCAGCCAAAATCCTTGGCTTCCAGACAATGAGACAGGAACAACATCCTGATTGTCTGTGTGAATTCTGATAGCCCAAGTCCCAAAATCACCATCACTAGTTTTCCAAGACTGAAATATGAGACTTTCAAACATGGGATTCATGCTTTTCCCATGACCATCATTTCAAGTTCCAAGACTTATGTGCTCTCTGTCCTGTCATCCTTTCCGGGTACATTTGGTGGGAACATGAGAGAAGGATCCCATCCTGGGAGAAAGGCAGCAAATAAAGAAATAAATAAGGCCTTCTTGGTGGCTGCTCCCAAGCTCTGGAACTCCCTTCCAAAGAAGTTAGACTAGTGCCCTCATTCCTACATTTCTGCAGGCAAATAGATCTTTCTGTTTCAGTAGGCCTTTGAGAGCTTTTTTAATGGTTTTATTTAAACTATTTCTAACTTTAGTTAAATATATTTTTATATTAACAATTATATTTTAACTCTTGTATAATACAAACGTTTTATCTGTGTAAAGGGCCCTCCATATCTATGGATTCACATTAATGACATCAAAATATTCACACAAACAAAAATTCCCAAAAGCAAACTCTGATTTTACCATTTTACATTTATATACTATGCCCTTGTATATAATGGGACTTGAGAATCCACAAATGTTGATAGCCATGGGGAGTCCTGGGACCAAGCCCCCGTAGATACCAAAGGACCACTGTATTTGTTTTATAAGCTGCCTTGAGTCTGAGACCAGGAAAAAGACAGGATATGACTATATATGTTCGTAATAGCAACACCAACAACAATATTTGTGTAAATGCTCTTTTTTTTTTCCTTCCAAGAGGCTGCACCAGGCTCAAAGATGTACACTGGAGCCACTATCGGCTCTCTTGAAAAGCTCAGGAGTTCTCCATTCAGCTGAGAAACCAATTATATATATATATATATATATATATATATATATATATATATATATATATATCCTCTTCCCATTGGCCTGCTTTCACACTTCCTGGCTGTAGCAGAACCAGCAACTTCTGTATGCATTACAGCTTGTCATCCTAAGAACTATATAACTGAAGCATGGATAGTCTCATTTTCCTTTTGTGTTCTACCTTTTTAGGCTGTAAGTCTGAGGGCTATCTTGTCCAGATGTCAGTCAGGGCCTTTAAAAACTCTCTGGCAATCCGAGGTGGTTGCTGGTTCCTATGTTGTGTGGTGGTGAATCTGGAGCAGATATGAGGGCAGGGGTGTAGCTATGAGGGGTCCAAATTGAGAGCATTACCCCCAATAAGAATTCTGCCACCATCACCCCACTTTTATCCCCCAAATTACCAGCATTCCAGAAACCAAGGTGTTGAAAATCATTCACATTCAGAATTTGCTGTGTTCATACTCCCTTGATAACTCTGTCTTCTCCTTTTCTTTCGGTGACTAACCTGTATTTCTAAATACTTAACTGAAGCTCTAAGTTACTGCAGTGCTAGAAATTTGTGGACTGAAGGAAAAATTGTTCCTTGGTTGAGAGGGGTTTGGGTTCAACACAGCTTCAGATGGCCTAGTAGTGTTGGCTCAGCTGGGTTTGGGGACATTTTGATCATTTGGCATTATATTCCTAACTTTGATACCACTTTCAATAGAATAGCTGCACTCTACAGAATCCTGGGATTTATAGTTTGACAAGGTACCTAGAATTCTGTGCTAGAGAGTTCATTCCCCTGAACTACAGCACTCAAACTTTCTACTAGAGAATTATAAGTGCCTCCCCAAATGACAAATCCGAGGCTCTCACAAGATGCAGTCATGGCAGTTAAAGTAGTATCAGATATCTAAATCTGCATAGTGCAAATGTATTCTACAGTTCTTATCACCTCTATAACAAGACTGGAAGGGACACTGGAAACCCCAGACTCCACACAGATACAACTCAGTCTCCTGATTAATCTATATCATAATGCTATATACACTCAGGTTGTCTTAAATATGGGTATCATATCCAGGTGTTCCAATTTGACAGAGACAGTCCTGATTAATCCTCTATTTTCCCACTTTTGCAGCTGCTTTAAAAACATCCGTATTCACTGCCACGGTAATTCTTATAATTATTGTATTATTGTAGATTTTAATTTTAAATTTTGGGCATTTGCCTTATTTTAAACTATTAATTCAATGTTGTTGAATAATTTTTAAGGGGCAGGAGGTTTAGAGTGGGGTTTGATCTTATTGTATTGTATTTTTATGTTGGAAGTTGCCCTGATGCAATGCAGAGGGGAAGGGTATAAATTATTATTATTATTATTATTATTATTATTATTATTATTATTATTATTAATCATCCCAGTTTCTCTCTTTTCTTCCCACTTTCCCCTTTCATCCTCAGCTAACATCAATTGCTGCAAACTGAGTTTAATATGCAAAAGAATTTTGCACTCAGCATGAAAGTTAGAATCATACAAGCCATTGTAGTCCCTATTACCAAGTATTGATGTGAGATCTGGACAATTAAGAAACAAGATAGGAGAAAAATCAATTCATTTGAGATGTGGTGCTGGAGAAAAGTGCTGAGGATCCCATGGACAGCCAGAAAGACAAACAAATGGGCCCTAGAGCAGATCAAGCCAGAAATCTCCCTGGAAGCCAAGATGACAAAACTGAGGCTGTCGTATTGTGGACATATCATGAGAAAAGAGGATTCATTAGAAAATACAATAATGTTGGGAAAGGTGGAGGGAAGTAGAAAGAGAGAAAAGTCTACATGCTAAAGGATGGACTCTATTAAGGAG